CAACTAGGGTACATCGGTTTTGCCAACCCATGACAGAAAATTGTTCCACAGCCTGCCTAGTTGACACTAAAAGCCCATGAGGGGTCTCCAGCACTGTTGTCTTTGCCTGTGCTTGTGCTGTTAGTCCCAAATTGCAGCACACAGTCCTTCAAGTTAGTTTTGGGCCTGCTGGATTGATAAGTGTCGAAGGGCAACATCTAGGTCACCAAGATTAGTTATCTTTATAACCGCGGCTTGCAATATGGGCCTCGGTCTTTGGATGCAGCGGAGCGGGGCCTCAAGTCTCAATGGAGATGCGAATGCCTTTGCTACAATGGATCGTCTTGACAGAAGTTTGAAAGTTCTGAGGTGCAGGTGCAGGTGCAGGTGCAGGTGCAGGTGCAGGTGGAGGGAGGGACTCAAGAGGATACGGAGATTGGAAACACGACGAGAGCACATGAATTGAACACGACGTGAAACCAGGTTGCACAAGTGTTATGTGGATGACACAAAACGAAGGGTCAGGAAGGTACGACAACGCATGGATGGGCTGACATACATGGATGGATGGACAGGATGGGATGGGATGGGATGGGATGGGATGGCGGAGGAGGTTTACACGAGAATGATGGGAGGCTTGCTCTGAGCCTGATGAGATCACAACACAATGCTGCACACAGAATGCACACAATGCCTCAACTCAAACGTTACCCATCATCACCCGAGTCCCGACTGGTTCAACACCAGTAACCAACAGTACCGTAAGCACCCCCATTCAAACCCTGCCTGCTAGCATTGCAACTCGTCAGATGCACACTATCGCACTCAACCCACCCGCACTCAACCCACCCGCACTCACCCTACCCGCACTCAACCCACCCGCACTCACCCACCCCAACCCGCACTCACCCCACCCGCACTCACCCACCCCAACCCGCACTCAACCCTCCCGCACTCACCCCACCCAGTCACCCCACCCGCACTCCCCCCACCTGCACTCATCACCTCATCCTAACTGGTCCTTCCCTCTCCACACGCGCATTGCCAACAACCTAGATCTTTTCCTCTCCGTAATACCTCATGCAAGCCACTGCAAGTTACAAGCGAGTTACAGGCGAGTTACAGGCGAGTTACAGGCGAGTTACAGGCGACATACAGGCGACTTAGAGGGTTAAGCCCCTGCAGCGTAACAGCGTGAGTTTCTGCGCCAAACGGCAGCACATCCCTCCCGTGCACATACTCCGCACCTCAACCTAGACTCTACACGCCATGCTCGATCCTCGCCTCTCCACCTCGATCCTCGCCTCTCCACCTCATTCCTCGCCTCTCCACCTCGTTCCTCGCCTCTCTACCTCGTTCCTCGATTACGGGCGACGCTACACGTCGCTATCGCACGCAAAGCTCCAGACTCAGTGCTCTGAACCTGAGCCTCCCGCATCCCCTACCCCGTCTCCTGCTATCTCACGCACTACGCCTGACGGCTCGAGCACTAGAGCGGGGACTCGCACCGAGCAATCGCCATAGAAATCGCATAGAAGTCGCATAGCAATCGCATGATCCCCGAACGCCCCAACGTTCTCCAATACTCCTCATCTCCCTCCCCCTTATGAACCCCCTTACCAATCTTCCCAGGCAAATCTCTCCGCCACCCTTCACCCCTCTGTAACCTGCCCTAAGCACTCTTCACCCCCTGCTCCTCCCGTCTTCACCTCCTCCATTCAACCCCCCTTGGCCCTCTGCTCCTCCCCTTCCCCGCTTCCCCTTCCCCTTTTCAAGCCCCCCCAAAACTATGGATGACGTATGCGATATGACAGCGGAAACGGGAGAAACGGGGTAGGACGAGACACAGAGCGGGGACTCGCACAAAAAGAAAGGATGCGCACACGGAAGAGGAAATGCGAGGGGACGGAATAGGTTGGGGGAGAGGACGTCTAGGAGGAGCGACGGAACGATAATACGGAGGAACAAGTGGGGAGGAAGGGGAGGGGGGAAGCGACGAGAGGAAGCGAAGGGGGTGAGGGAGGTAAAGAACGAGGAAGGGAGGTGTGGGAGGGACAAGAGAGCCGTGTGAAAGTGCTGATTGGTTGGGTTGTTAAAGGCCATGTAGTAAAGAGGTAAGGGTGAAATTTCATTGTTTGGGATTCATTGCGCTTCCACACACACTTGCACCGCCACGGACGAACACACCACACGAGCAAGCACACGATGCAAACGATGCACCACGGAGAGAGGAAATGCACGATGATAATCAACCACATGGACACACGCACAGGCACATGCACACGCACAAACAGACACACACGCGCACGCGCGCGCACAGGCGCACCGGAGGGGAAGCAAACGAGCCTGAACGCACACACGAAGAGTGAAGTGTATAGCCAGTAAAGAGAAGCTCATTACCCAATCTGCACATGACACGTGGTGAGCGCTGCACCGCAGCTCAAGCCAGGACAAGTCCCTTTGCGCCAACTATTGCCTGCCTCCATCCCATTCCTTTCCAGCACAACTACTGCTGCTACTGCCAGCAAGGATGCTACTGCAAATACTGCCACTACTGCCACTAATGCCACTGATGGGACGAGAGCAAGCCTAGCTCCAAACACCGCACCTCCAAGAACCCGCTTTCATCCCAAAGCAGAGCAGCAGGTACTAGCAATGTCCTCGCACCAGCCGCAGTAGAAGCAGGCAGAAGCAGCAGCAGCTACCACCCTCCACACAATAGCTTCTACACCCCAATTGCCTTCACCATAACTCCGACGTTACTCCAGCGCCAAGCAGACTCGGCACAGCTCAGCACAGCGCAGCACAGCCCAGCATGCCACGTGTCCGGTCGCATCCAACCCAATCCAGGGAACGAAATCTGACCAAACCAGGATAAATCGAGCGACTCCCAAGAGGACTACTATGACAGCGGCGCGGTTCACCGTTCTAGTTGGCGGGAATCTCAATTTCGCCGTCGTCAATCTCTTGCTGCACGTCCTTAGGGCTCTTGCCGTCCACCGTGCATCCTACCGACACGCACGTTCCCAGAATCTCCTTCACGGTGCCGGTGAGTTCCTTCGCAATTGATCGCGGCCGCATCACGCGAGCGACCTCGATGACGTCATCCATGGAGATGTTACCGTTGTGCTTGATGTTCTTCGTCTTCTTGCGGTCGCGTTCCGGCTCCTTGAGCGCTTTAATCACCAGCGCCGCGGCACTAGGAACGACTGAGACCTTAGCCTGGCGATTCTGCACTGTCAGCTTAACGGTCACGCGAAGACCCTTCCATTCCTTGGCAGTCTCCTTAGCGATATCTTCTCCGATCTTCTTAGGAGACAGACCGAGCGGACCGATCTTAGGAGCGAGGGAGGACGCGGCGCCGACCTCGCCGCCCGTCACGCGGACGAACACGTCGACAATCGCCGTGGGATCCATTTTGGGAGGCATGGTGGCGAATTTGCAAGAAACGACGAAGAGGGATTAGGCGGCGGGTTAATAAGTTGAAGGAACTAAGTGCTCGAGACGCCTAGGGAACGGGGGAGAAAGTGCTACGTGACAGTATTTCCCGACGCGAAAAAGGATAAGTTCAACCTCCTATTTTCCAAAAAGTGCAGGCTGAAATTTTGCTGCTTGGGGAGGACGGGGTTGAGTGCGGAGGGAGACATGTGGAAGGGGGAAGAGGCAAGAGCGAAGGGGAGGGAGGATGGAGGAATCGGAAGCGGTTGGAAGAGGTTGAAGAGAGTTGAGTTGCGTGGAGTGGAGTGCAAGAGTCACCTGAACACCATGTCCCTCAAGGTCTGTGGCTGGTGCTGACAGCTGCGGGGAGTGCAGTGAATCTCGTGCGGAGTATTTTGAGTTCGTAAGTTCGGGGGCTTATCCACGCAGGGTTTAGCAACGTCTTTATTTGGGCATTGCGTTTCTCCGCCTCTAGTAACGGTGAGGCTTTGAAATATACGTGTGCAAGATATGTCAGAGATGTGGTTTTCCAGTTGACACTCTCAGTGGTCGCTGCGACCGCCTAAAACGAATATTTCGGTCCACCCTGGATATCAGCAAAGTGGTCGAATCTGTGTTCGCCCTCCTGGCAATTCCCTCCACTGACGTCATGTCAACCCCACCGAGCCTTCCTTGAATTTAAATTAACCAATCGCAAGTGACCACGAACTCGCTACTTTCGTCAACCAGCACACCAACCTCCTCCCTGTGTCAACCACAGCCACCCGCCAAACACCAATGAAATCAGAGACAGTCAATCTGACGGCTCATGGGCAAAGGCAAGAGGTCTAGGCTCGACAGATCTCTGTCCGAACCGAGCCGAGCCGAGCCTCGCTTCATCCACCACGTTTCAGTTCACTGTCTCCAGACCTCGCATCTCTCCGTCTCGTCTTGTGACTCGTCTCGTCTCGTCCCTCGGATCATCAGCGTCCACCCCAGATTATTGTGCAAGATGGATTTAGTTGAAACGTATCAGTACCGCCTCCATTGATGTGCCTGGCCCCGATTGTTTGCATGTTGAACGTGACCATAAACTTCTCGCTTTGCTGCGTCACTGAGGCCATCGTTGCTTAGTGTGTCATAGTCATCACACAGCTGAGATACCGCTCCTACCTGGTTCCGGGAAACTTTTCGTCCCGTGTAACTCTGATTCTACTCCTAAGGAAGCCGAGCCGCTGTCCTGTCGCGATCTAGTCGTCCAATCGTTACTGGCTGGCGTACGTGATATTCGTATTAGAGGCTGCTGCGCTTTTCCGCTATGGTTTCCAATGCTCTAAGCTTCTCTGGAGCCTCACTTCATGCGGCTTTATTGAAATCACCAACTTCTAAGGCCCGTTCTTGTGTTGAATCTCATAGACACCTTCCTGCAAAGCTCCGACCCACCGTTGACCCAAGTCCCGCATTCCTCCGCCTCCGAGAAAAGACATCACTACATTCGTCAACTTTCTTACCTGCTTCCCAGCTCGCCAAAGAAACTCTAAGGGATGTCAAGGTTCCCGCGTTTTCGGCCGCTGGATCTGATCTCGACGGCGAGCACTTGAACAATGGTGGAGAAGCAGAAAAGCCGGACCGACAGTCTGGCAGGGCACGGGAAGGAGGCGGTGAGGACAGGCCGTCCAAGAAAGGCGAAACAGCAATATCGCCACGTTCCGACGGGCAAACAGGTCCGTGTAGAGCGTTCAACCCGCCTCCCTTTTCCTTTCTCTTCCTCCCTCACTCTCTCGCAGTATCTCCCCCCCCCTTTCTCGTCTTTGTCCTCATCTCTCTCCGCCTCGCTCTGCCCGCCTCTACTATCTCCTCCTTATCATCCTCTCTTAAGGCATCATTTGAATCCCGCCGTTTCTCAACGCTCCCCCCCCGCCTCCCATATCAGATCCGTTCACCTATGGCCTCCGTTGGATCCGCATCAGCACAGCAGCAGGTCTCTGGCTCGCTCTCTTCTTCGCCTCGTGTCTCAATCGCGACGACTCAGGCGGCGGAGGAACCCCTTCCACCAATTTCCCGCTGCCGGGGAGGACTCGCGGTGGCAGTGGCGGCGGGAACAGGAAGTTTTCCAGCAGCAGTGCGTTTACTGGCGGTCCTGACAGCTGAGACCGATTGTTAGGGTTTGTGGGTACCATGTGCTGTGCCGTGGCCATGGCCGAAACTGGCATTTGTGGAGTGTTTAGGGAGGTGCATTTGGAAGTGTTGAGCCTTGAAAATGAAATCTCCCTTGTACAGGGCTTGTGGATTGGTGGCTGCCGTATTGTAAGGGTATTGTGCATGTCCGCTAGTATTTTAGTGGTCACGACATAACAGACGGGGAAAGATTTTCTCAGAACAGTTCGGGGCGGACTTGACTTGTAACGTTTCATTCTTCGAACCAATACAATCCTTATTGTAATCTAAATTATTAGTTCAGGAAGTGCGCTTTACAAATCGTCTGAAAATGCTTTATGCAATTATTAGTTCAGGAAGTGCAGCAGGGGTCAGCCAGGAGCTGTCAAACCCGCACCACTGAGACAGTCAGTTCCACTAACCATCCTCCCTCCTCTCCTACCCTAGTGGCCTGGCTGGTCTTGGTCATGTCCATAAGACAGGTTAAGCTGCCTCCCACGCAGCATCAATCATTCTGCTCATAACTTAGCCTAAGAGGAGCCACCGCCAAGCCAACAGCTGCAGCGGCAGCAGGCAGGCAAGCAAGGGCGGCTATGCACATGCTGGGAACAGCTGCACCACACTGCACATTCCTCAGTGTGAATTCAACTCCTTAGTCACATATTCCACGGTCCTTCACGGGTCTGAGAGCACGTCGAGGCCGACAATGAGGAAGGCAAGCCCTTGGAAGAGCAGGAAGTAGAAGTGCAGCCCGTGCGCTGACAGCAGGCTGCGAGCTGCTGCTGTCACCAGCAGTGCCGCTAGCGCCAGCTCCTTGGGGTAGATCCTGAGGGGTAGAGCAAGGTGGGGGATGGTGAGAGTGGCAGAGAGAAGAGAGGGGGGGATGAGAGCAGGAAAGGACCGGAGAGCTGATCATTCGAGGACCATTTGAGAGGAGAGCTGATTATCTGCATGGTAAGGGCCATAAAATCTCTGTTTCCACAGAGCAGAGCAGAGCGGAGCAGAGCAGGGCAGAGCAGAGCAGGGCATAGCCCAATGAGAGATGCTTTTACGCTTAATTTCTTACCTGCGGGTCACCTTGGCCTTCGGTACCACTGCTGCTGCTGAAGCTGCTTCACTTTGAAACTTAGAACCCTTTCCAGCAGCATCAGCAGCAACAGGGGCGACAGCAAGAGCTGTGTGCGGTGCTGTGGGGTTGGGCGTTGTTCGCCAGGAGTTCAGTTGGTGGGAGGGAGGGGTGGGGCGGAGCAGCGGAGTGGTCGTGCTACTGTAATTGTAGTTGTAACTGTGGCTGTGGCTGTGGCTGTGGTGGTTGTTAGAGTCATCGTTAGGAGATGTCTTGGCTTTATGTGGAGTTTGGTCTGAGATAACGGTGTCCCGTGCAAGAACGTTGCTGGATAGAGCTCCCAGCACTGATCGCTTCTGCATGCAGCAGGAGAGAGAGAGAGAATAGAGAGAATATATATATATATATAGAGAGAGAGAGAGAGAGAGAGAGAGAGAGAGAGAGAGAGAGAGAGAGAGAGAGAGAGAGAGAGAGAGAGAGAGAGAGAGAGAGAGAGTGAGAGTGAGAGTGAGAGTGAGAGAGAGAGAGAGAGTGAGAGAATAGAGAGAGAGAGAGAATGGAGAGAGAGAGAGAGAGAGAGAGAGTAGGGGAGAGAAATAGTGTAAGCCAAGCAGACGACCGCGCAGTTGAAAGAGTCGAGGAGCAATAGAAAGGAGTAGACGACGGAAGAAAGGGAACTGGTGTGGGATAGCAATGCAGGGACGCAGGCGTACCGGAGTGGTCGCTGGTTTGCCATTCACTGGTGTTGCGTTAGCAGCACCCACACCAGCAGCTGCATCAGCACTGGCAGCAGTGGCAGCAGCGGCGGCTGCAGCACCGGAATCACCACCGTCAGTACCACCACCAGCAGCTGTTGTGGCCACTGGTGCAAGGTGCTCGTTCCCTTCCGCATTCCCCACGTTTCCTCCCGAGTTCCCTCCCGCATTCGCTCCCAAGGCGCGCGCGCCGCCGGTCTTCTTAGTGACGACCCACTCGTGCGCGCTCTTGAGCTGGAAGAGCCCGGCAACCATGGCGTGGAACTTAGTAACAGACATGGTGTTCTCGAAGAGCAGATACGGGATGGTGAAGGGGAGCGATCGCGGCGACGGCAGCACGTTGAGCAGAGACATGATGCCGGGGACGTAGCAGACGACCCAGAGCGGCAGCGCGGCTTCCGGTACGAAGATGGTGAGCGGGAGTAGCACGCAGAAGAGCAGGAAGGAGTAGAAGGGCAGGACCATCTTGCGGAGCAGGAAGAAGAGGAAGATGAGGTGAAACTTCTTCCACAGGGAGATCTGCGGTTGGGGAGAAAGGGGAGGGGAGGGAGGCGGGAGGGCGGTTGGGGAAGGGGCGGACGGGAGGGAGGGAGGGAGGGAGGGAGGGAGGGAGGGAGGGAGGGAGGGAGGGAGGGAGGGAGGGAGGGAGGGAGGGAGGGAGGGAGGGAGGGAGGGAGGGAGGGAGGGAGGGAGGGAGGGAGGGAGCGAGGGAGGGAGGGAGGGAGCGAGTGAGGAGGAAGAACATCGCGTGAAAAACGGCGCAGTGAATCCAGCGAGACACAACGGGCATTAGCAGCCACACACGCACAACTACGCACACGCAATCACAACGGACAACCCACCCACCTTAGCGGCGAGAATATCCCCGAGGCACAGCCGGAACAGCTGCATGGGGCCCGAGTGCCAGCGATGCTGCTGCTTGCGGTACGCCTCGTACGACTGCGGCAGCTCGCACTGCACCTCCACGTCGTTCAGGAACACGAAGCGCCACCCCTTGAGATGCGCGCGCACCGCTAGATCCATATCCTCCACCGTCGTGCGATCCAGCCACCCGCCGCTATCCTCCAGCGCCGCGATTCGCCACACGCCCGCGGTGCCGTTGAACCCGAAGAAGCCGAGAAACGCGCCGTTGACCTGCTGCTCGATCTCGAAGTGAAACGCGAGGTTCACGTGCTGGAGCCGCGTTAGGAGGTTCTCCTCGCGGTTGACGAAGCTCCAGCGCGCCTGGACTAGTGCCACGTCGGGCTGGTCCTTGAAATGCGGGACGGTCCGGCGCAGGAAATCCGGGCGCGGCTGGAAATCCGCGTCGAAAATGGCGACGAACTCGTACTTTCGCACGTAGTCGCACGCCATCGCGCTCGCCAGGTTACCCGCTTTGTAACCCTTGCGGTCCGTCCTGTGCCGGTACACGATCGGCGCGCCTCGCGCCGCCCACGCTTCCACCTCCGCGCGAATCATATCCGCCGTCTCCTCGTCACTGCTGTCGTCTAAAACCTGCACCAGGAACCGGCTAGCCGGCCAGTCGAGCTGACACGCGGCAGCAATCGACTGGTCGTAAACCTCACGCTCGTTACACATCGGAATCTGGACTAGAACCATGGGGAAACAGTCGGATGCGGGACGCTCGGGGTCGGCTACTGCATCTGTTTCGTAACGTCCCTTGGGTTGCGGACGGTAACGGGTGAGGAAAAGGTACAAGCCACCCAACGCAAGCACGAGACGGTCGACGGATTGCAGAAGGAAGAGGTAGATGCAGAAATCCGTCGCCCACTGCAGCGGGCGACCGATCCATATCGCCCTGCGACGGCGACGACAGGAAGAGGGCGACGATAGGAAAGAGGGTGACGAAACGAGGGGAAAGCGCGAAGAGAGAATCAAGCAAGAAAGAACATCCCGCATTAGCAATCTAGAAACAGCCCGTCCGGCAGTCTATTACCGAGTCACTCCTTACCGGAAACTCAGCCAGTGCCCGTACATCTCCGCGGCCCACACCTCCAATCGCGTCACGGTTCTTTCCCGCCCGTGGTACAGCCAGTGATACCACTCCCACTGCAACTCGCCGCTGTGCGCGCACACTTCCACTATCAGCAGCAACACGGAAACCAGCAGCAAAACCCGGAGGCCCAGCAGAATCCCCTTCCCGCCTCCGCCGGAACCGGTGAATCGAGACTTGCCGCCGGCGAGAGGACTCTGGCTCTCGTCGTAATCGGAATAGTACCCGTCGTCGTCTTCGTCGTAGTCGAATTCATCTACGCCGTCCATTGCCGGATCGCCACTCTCAGTCCCTTGGCGCGCCAACAACCGTTCATGCACGGCTGACGTCAGCGACAGGAAGCCCGACGTCATCCACCGGAAAATTCCCGCCGCGCGCTGAGCCCGGAGCCACAACAGCCACGTCACCAGCTTCGCGCTTCGGACTCGCGCGGGCTTACTTAGTGAGCTGGACTCCCGGTCTCGATAACCGGATTCTCCGGAAGCAGAGAAAGCGGGAGTCGTTGCGCACACCGGGGTATGCGGAGAGTCAAGGGGGGAGTCGCCTCTCAAGGTACAACCAGTCTCAGCTTGCGCGCTCGCGCCGGATCTAAGGCTGGAAGCGTCATCGGCGCCGCCAGACGCGGAGAGCAGCGAGTGGCTGCTGGTGCGGGGAATCGGCAGCGTCGGAAACGCTGGGAAAGGAGAGAACGGCGACGCGGGTGGGACATTGTGGGGCGTCCGATGGGGGCACGCAGAGGAGGGTTCGACGACTTGTGATGGCAGTGAGAGGACGGATGGGCGAATGCGTGAGACGGCAATGTTCGCGGGACACGAATCCACAGGAAAGGTACTGGTCGAAGCGTTATTCCCGCGTGAACTCTGTGCAGCAGGAGTAGATCCTCCTGATTGGTTCTGCGGAACGCCTCCGACGCTGATTCCGTTGCCCATACGGTTCCACATTGATTTAGGCGCGTCGAAATGGAATACGTTATGAGTCTCACAATGGCGGTTGTTAGGATCCGTATCGTGCGCCATTTTCGAGTGGCTGTGCAGCCACGCACGCAATTTCACCGTGCTGAGCTTTGGAAGTCAAGGCAAAGGAGTGACGGAGTCACAGGAAAGCTGAGGGACTTATGGAGATTCGAGAGAAGTTTGAAGTATCATGGGAATTCGAGTGGAATGCGAGGATTTGGAGTTTAGGGGGATGGAACA